GTGTGTGTGTGTGTGTGTGTGTGTGTGTGTGTGTGTGTGTGTGTGTGTTCCTGCTAGCAGAATGTAAGCTCTGGAAGGGCAGGGATTGTTTCACTTGTTGTATGCCCAGCATCTAGCACCGTATCTGAGACAGCAGTGAATAAGACAGAAGACGGGCTTGCCTTATCCCAAACTCCACTCTACAGTGCAATATGTTATATAAAGTTTCTTGCATAGCTAAGTCACAAAATGAAGCCAACTGCAATGAAAATTTTGCTTCAAAAAATGGAATTCCCTTCCCTGAGACCTACAATGTAAACGTGAGCTCTAAAATCAGAAAATCCAAGTTCAAGTCTTAGCTCTTCTGCTTGACTGGGGCAGCTAGGTGGCACAGCGGATAGAACACCAGCCCTGGAGTCAGGAGGACCTCAGTTCAAACACAGGCTCAGACATTTGACACTTACTACGTGGGCAAGTCACTTAACTCTGATTGCCTCCCAAAATAATAAAATAAAATATCTACGTGACTTTTGGTAACTCAATACATTTCTCGGGAACTCAGTGTCCTCTTCTGTAAATAAGGCTAATAGCTTTTACATCTGAGCAAATTCTTCTCAAGACAATTTTTTAAAATCTGTTTTTTATATTTTTCCCCAATTGCAAGTAAAAACAATGTTAACATATATTTTTTCAAATTTTGAGTTCCAAATTCTCTTCCTCCTTCCTTCCCCATCCTCCTCAATGAGAAGGCAAACAATTTGATATAGTTCATACAGTTGCAGTCATGCAAAACATATTTACATATCAGTCATGTTGTGAAAGAAAACACATATCCAAAATAAACACAAGAAAAATAAAGCTTAAAAAAGTATGCTTCAATCTGCATTGAGACTCCATCAGTTACTCCTCTGAAGGTGGATAGCACTTTTCCTCATACGTCCTTCAGAACTGTCTTACATCATTGTATTGGTGAGAATGGCAAAGTAATTCATAATTGATCATCGTACAATATTGCTATTACTGTGTACAATGTTCTCCTGGTTCTGCTCATTTTACTTTGCATTAGTTCATTTAAGTTTTCCCAGGTATTTCTGAAAGCACCCTGCTCATCATTTCTTATAGCACAAAAGTATTCCATTATAATCATATACCACAAATTGTTTAGCCATTCCCCAATTAATGGGCATCCCCTCAATTTCCAATTCCTTGACACTGCAAAAAGAGCTGTTATAAATACTTTTGTACATATGGGTCCTTTTCCATTTGTTTTTAATCTCTTTGGGATACAGACCTAGTAGTAGTATTGCTGGATCAAAGGGTATGCACAATTTCATAGCTCTTTGGGCATGGTTCCAAATTGTTCTCCAGAATGGTTGGATTAGTTCACAACTCCACCAACAGTGAATTAGTGTCCCAATTTTCCTACATCCCTTCCAACATCTGTCTTTTTCTGTCATATTGGTCAATCTGATAGGTGTGGCGAGATACCTCAGAATTGTTTTAATTTGTATTTTTCTAATTAATAGTGATTTAGAGCATTTTAGCTTTGATTTCTTCATCTGAAAACTGTCCACATCCTTTGACCATTTATCAATCGGAGAATGTCATGTATCCTTATAAATTTGACTTAGTTGTCTATATATTTGAGAAATGATTTCTCTATCAGAGAAACCTGTCATAAAAATTTTCCCCAGTTTTCCGCTTTCCTTTAGCAGCATTGGTTTTGCTTGTTCAAAAACTTTTTAATTTAGTGTAATCAAAATTTTCCATTTTACATCCCATAATGCTCTCTTTTTTGGTCATCAATTCTTCCGTTATCCATTGATCTGACAGGTAAACTATTCCTCGCTCCCCTCATTTGCTTATAGTAGTTCATCCTATTCACATTTGCTGTTATGATTACTGCCTGTTTATTGCCCTCCATCCTACTTTTCCCCTGTTTAATTCTACTCTCTCTTCCTTCTCCCTGTCCATCCTCAAAAGTGCTTCACTTCCCACCACAGCCCCCTACCCCCATCTGCCCTCCCTTCTATCAGTCCCTGCCTCACTTTTCTCTAATCCCCCTTCCCTCCTACTTCCCTGTAGGGCAAGATAGATTTCTATACCCAACTGAGTGTGTATGTTATTCCCTCTTTGATCCAATTCCTATGAGAGTAAGGAATACAAACCCCCATCTTCCCCTCCACTGTAAAAGCTCTTTTGTGCCTCTTTTATGTGAGATATTTTACCTTATTCTGCCTCTCCCTTTCCCTTTCCCCCAGTGCAACCCTCTTTCTCAACCCCTAATTTTATTTTTTTGGCTATCATACCATCATAGTCAACTCACACTCAAGCCCTCTATCTAAGTATACTCCTTCTAACTGCCCTAATAATGATTAAGTTCTTAGGAATTACAAGTATCATTTTCCCACGTAGGAATGTCAACAATTTAACCTTATTGAATCCCTTATGATTTCTCTTTCATGTTTACGTTTTTATGCTGCTCTTGAGTCTTGTGTTTGAAAGTCAAATTTTCCTTTCCTTTCCTGGTCTCTTCATCAGGAATGCTTTCATTAGGAATCCTCTATTTCATAAAATAACCATTTTTTCCCCCAAAGAATTATACTCAGTTTTGCTGGGTAGGTGATTCTTGGTTGTAATCCTAGTTGCTTTGCCCTCTGGAACATCATATGCCAAGCCTGCCAATCTTTTAATGTAGAAGCCACTAAATCTCACGTTATCCTGACTGTGGCTTCATGATATTTGAACTGTTTCTTTCTGGCTGCTTGCAATATTTTCTCCTTGACTGAGGAGCTCTGGAATTTGACTATAATATTCCTGGCAGTTTTCATTTTGGGATCTCTTTCAGGAGGTGATTGATGGATTCTTTCAATTTATATTTTACCTTCTGGTTCTAGGATATCAGGATGTTTTCCTTGATAATTTCTTGAAATATAAGGTTTAGGCTTTCTCTCTGATCATGGCTTTCAGGTAGCCCAATATTTCTCCTCAATCAATTTTCTAGACCATTTGTTTTTCAATGAGATATTTCATATATTCTTCTATTTTTTCATTCTCTTGATTTTGATTGTTTCTCGATGTCTCGTGTAGCCATTAGCTTCCACCTGCCCAATTCTAATCTTTAAGGAATTATTTTCTTCAATAAGCTTTTGTACCTCTTTTTCCATTTGGCCAATTCTGAATTTTAAGAAATTCTTCTCTTCAGTGGATTTTTGTGCCTCTTTTTTTCTCCCCACTTCTCCAGTCTCTAATCTGTGAGATGATTGACCATCATCAGAAAGAAAGCCACGGGGACCAAGCAGGGCAGGCCTCCAGGGCCAAGTTGGAATTTGGGCAGGAGTCTCTAGGGTAAAGGTGATGAGAGAACTGCTGGCCTGTAAAGCTCAGAGATGGACACATGTCCTCACTGGTGGATGAACTGGGCCACATCTCGGGTGTGACATAGATGAACTCCCCACGGTCATCAATCACACCTGTCAGGGTGCCTTCAGCCAGCAGGTCCTGCACTCCGTTAACAGTATCCTGGGTTTGCAGGCCTACGTGAGATGCTCCATCCTCCAAGAGCACAATTTTTGCCTGCTCAATGTAACTGACGAACTTAGTCAGGAAGTTCTGAGACTGCTCCTCCTCCACTCAAAGGCCTCCTTCAGTTTCAGGTACTCCTCATGCTCATGCTGCTCACGCTCTTCCCAGGCCTTCCTTTCCTCTGCTTCCTTCCTTTTCTCTTCCAGATGAAGTTGCTCATCCTTTTTCTTCCACTCCTTCTCTCACGTGGATTCCAGTCGATGCCACTCCTCTCACTCAGCTTCTTCTGCCTCTCGCTGAGCTTTCCTGGCCTGCTTCTCCTGCAGCTTCCTCTGTTTCTTGGCTCCAATTTTTCCCAATGGTTGAATTTCTGTGAGTTCATCACCACTTTCTTCTTCCTGGGGTTCTATCACTTCCTCATCCTCTCCCTTGGCCTGCTGGGCCTGGAGCCTGTTCCCCATGTCTTGCCGGTGTTGGGCCCTTCCTTCAGCCCTCTGTTTTCACATCCAAGAAGCTGGGACCCAGGCCCTCCAACAGCTGCTGCTGCTGCTGCCTCCACACTGAGCTGATGCTCCTGATTTGCTGCTGCCTGTGCTCGGACTTGGGTCA